GAATGTGGGCAAAAATGGCAGAAATTCAGAGTCATCCATGTAAAAATTTCCCTCCTAGTCTGCAACCCAACACTACAATTCGGGAATACAAATTCCAATCGGGGAAGAAAGCATTTAATAAGATACACCACTCCAAAATATGAAGTGTAAAGACTACATTGGTTAGCAAGCATCAGGTCAAGGTATAAGTAAAGGCTGAAATCTAGACTTGATCCAAACAGTCCATTTAATTCCTCAAGTCTCAGTTTCCCATCTATGTTGTGGTACAATTATTCACTTCAGTCTCACAAAGACATTGGGATTCTCATTTAAAAGACTTGTGAAACACATGAAAGCTGCTATCAGGACAATGAGCTATGTAAAGAACTATTCACCCTCTTCTTCAAAACACCTCCAGCATCATTATTTCACTACCATAGGTCTTGAGGCAGGGTTATCTGTACATACAGCCACACTATTCATAACCTTCGGAGCCAAGAACTATTCTGAAGAGATTCAGCAAGAAATAAGAAGAGTATGCCAGATACCACTGGCATTAAGATTCCAGTTGTCTCCCACAGAGAATAAATGAGAACTCAAGTCACTAAGGGCATAAAACTTCACTTTGCTCTTCTCCTTTATCCAGTAGTCCATGTATATTGAGTTAATTTGCCATTCATCCTAGCCTGGTGATGTTTCCAAAAAACAAAGGTTTCTTTCCAGTAGCTCCTGCAACCTCTTTATCTTTTCAGTTTTCTTTGCGCTTGAGCTGTCTAACCAACAAGTGGTAAGGCGCGACTCGGACTAGACTCCCTCCAAGTACTGGAGAACATGGAGTGCTGCAACAGACAGTGCCTGTTGTCCTCCCCACAGAGCTGGGAAACCGGCGTGCCCACCTCAAGTGAAAACATACATTTACTTTATTGTGTCTTACCTTTTCAATTTTTTCATCAAGCATTCTGAAGAATTCTTGTTGGCTTTCAGAGATGTGCATGCTGAAAGGGAAAGGAAGAGTATCAGTACCAAGAGGATTTCTTCCATTGTAAAATACTGATGCTGCTGTCCAGGGTTGTTGAGGGACTCAGCTGTAAGCTTTTACCACTGTGAAAAAGAAACCACTTTACACTTTCGTCTACAACGATATCTTTTTTTTTCCTCCATTTTTTGGTTTGCCCACAGAAAAATTATTGCATTTAGTTTTGTGTATGTGTGCTACACTTGGGGTGGTAACTAGGACCCGTGGGCATCCAGAGGAGACTATTCCCTTTTCCAGGCAGGTTGCAGAAACTTATTAGCCTGCTACCTTTCCTTGGGCCAATAAGAAACCCCTCTGTGTCAAGACAGAAGGTCTTCCAAGACTGCCAACCTCACCACCACAAAATGAGATGCCTATAAAGTGAGTTTAAAGCCTCGCACTGGAAGATCTACCTGCCCTGCTACAGCTAGGCTCTGTGCTCAACACCTAGGAATATCTACAAGCCCAGGCTGGTCCTTCTCCTCCCAGACGGGTAGTCCTTACAGCTCCCTGAGGACCCAGCAGATTATTCACTTCAATTAATTCTGCAGCCCCAAGAGGTTAGTGATACAATTTCACATTAGTGAAGAGGGCTGGAAAACACTTATTTGTTGTCTGTAAAACACTGATGGTGGCAGAAGACACCAGGCCCTTCCCCAGGGGGGACCTACAGGAAGGTCAGACGCAAAGGAAAGGATGAGGAGACAAAGATAAGAATGCATGGCAGACGGTATTTGGGGTGTGTCTGCTTTATTTATGTTAGGGGGTGGTGAAAACCTCCTTCCTGAAATAACTCTGTCCCTTGGGGAAGGTGAAGCTGGAACATCCTCTGGACCAGGGAGGAGCACCTGGGCCCATGGGAGGCTGGAGAAAACATTAGGGACTCAATGCAAGACAAAAAGAGATGTGAAAAAGGAAGGATGGGAGACTGGTGCCAGTGTCAACAGTAATATCAGATGGATAGAAGGACAGCTCTCAGATTTTCTCCAACAGTAAAAGCTGGTTTGGGTTGCTGAATTCCCACCCCAGTCCCCTCTTCCTTGGCATGATCCTTTCAGCTGTAATGAGTTAATACTTTTCCCATGTGCCCAACAACACGCTGCACTTCCCTACAGAGCTCAGCATTCATACTTCACTTGCTATCAGGATGAATGTATACAATGATTTGCTTATGCTGGACATAAATAAAGGCTCAGTTCAGTACAGAAGGTCTCAGAAGTGGCATTAAAACCTAAAGCTGGTAATTCAGAAAAGGGAACAATTCACCTTTCAGTGGTGTGGGAGCTTCTGTCCCCAGCTGTCTGCCTGTCCCTCAGGTTCCCACCTCCACCTGAGATGGCAAAAAGATGTTTGTTTGGGGCAGCCCACTCTGTCACCTGCATATTCACATGCCTTGGAGAGGGGCTTAGGGCAGTACAGCCCTTTCTGGGTAGGTAAGCACCGGAAAGATATTCTTGCCTTTGCAACATCATAGATCCAGTTTCTAATAAACTAAGACAATACTGTAGTGACTCACCCCAACCATAATTTATAAGGAAACTAAATGAAGGGGAGAAAAAATGGAGTACTGTGTGGCCATATACATTTGAAGTTCCACAGGAGGTCCTGTGGCCCTTGCAGGCCACGATCTTCAGAAAAGTTTGGCTGGCCAGTAAAATTGCCCTACGATTTAGAGATGAAACACATACACACAAATGCTGACACTGCATTAAAATTGTAAAATCTATGGCAGGGCGAGAAACTGGCAGAGTTAATGAACAACTGGAAGAGTGAGAAAACCACCAAATCTAAGCAGAGTTCTTGAGTAGCCCTCCAGAAAAAAAGCTTTCCCCAAATAGAAACACAGATTTAAATTTCCTTGTAAGAAGCACATTAGAAGGCATGAGAAGGCATTTTTAGATGTTTCATGGCAGGCCAATGAAGCACATTTTGCCAAAAGATGGGATCTTTATCCCCAGTATCAGTACAGAGTGATAAATGTAGGGAATGACTTGGGGACACTGGTGGGTGACAAACTGGACATGAGCCAGCAATGTGGACTTGCAGCCCAGAAAGCCAGTTGTGTCCTGGGTGCATCACCAGCAGCATGGACATCAGGTTGAGGGAAGGAATGTTCCCCTTCTACTCTGCTCTGGTGAGACCCTACCTGGAGTACTGCATCCAGCTCTGGGGCTCCCAACACACAACGGACATGGACCTGTTAGAGCAGGTCCAGAGGAGGCCATGAAAATGGTCAGAGGGCTAGAACATCTCTGTTATAAAGGCTCAGAGAGTTTGGGTTGTTTAATGTGGAGAAGAGGTGGCTCCAGGGAGACCTTATTGTGGCCTTTCAATGTATTAAGAGAGTTTAAAAGAAACATGGAGAGAGTTTTTAGCAAGCCCTGTAGTGACAGGACAAGGAGCAACAGTTTCAAACTGAAAGAGGGTAGGTTTAGACTGGACACAAGGAAAAAATTTTTTTAAGATGATGGTGGTGAGACACTGAAACAGGTTTCCCAGAAAAGTTGTGGATGCCCCATCATTGGAAGCATTCAAGGTCAGGTTCAATGGGGCTTTCAGCAACCTGATCCAGTGGAAGGTGTCCCTGCCCACGGCACAGGGTTGGAACTAGATGAACTTTAAAGGTCCCTTCCAACCCAAACCTTTCTGTGATGCTGTGATTTAGCAAGGTAAAAATGGTATGAAATACTACTTCTTTCACTTTATGCTTCAGGCTGCTGTTACTCCATGAGTTATGATCAGGTCTCAGTGTATTTGATGGGGCATATCTGATCACGTAGCTGACTAAAGATGTTAGCAGAGTGAGTTTTGAGGATGAGCAAACAGACCAAGTGCCTGAGAGGTCAGGGCAGCATGCAGGAATGAAGGCCCATGAAGGTATGCCAGGTACCAGGACTCAGTTTAAAGAGGAAGGACCAACTCCTTGGCCTCTGTCAAAGACCCCCATAAATCTACGTCTCCCTACGTACACTGTTTTTAGAGTCCAGGACTCTAGACATAAAATCTAAATCCTCCTACAAACAAGAAAAGCCCCCACAACATTACTTTTACAGCTAACATATTAAAGCTCTCATCATTGTAAATGAACTTGTAATTTGGTACATAGCCCATGTTTTGTTTTGAAATAACACCTGTTCTACAAGAACGCCTAGCAGATGCATCTAATGATCTACCTATTCATTTCTGCTCTTTAACTGAGTAGCCCTTTTCTACCCAATGCCACCCCTCCTTGCAGTCAGAACTGTCATGGGTTTAGACGATAAACCTCAAAAAAAAAAAATTGCACATGATAACAGATATTTACTGACTTGGTGATTAGCAACTCAAAAACATGTAGCCACTTCATAAACAGAAATTCAATGGTAGATTAGATAAATAGCTGAGGGTAGGACAAATAGTGGAGGCTTTAACCAACAACCTAATGTTACATTCTGTAACTCTCTGAGAAGTTCCCTGACTTTTTCAGGACTGTGACAGAAACGTTTACCTCTGCCAGTGCAATGTCTTTAGGCTTTTTGGTGAATGAAGGTCAGTTCTGATTTCTGCAGACTTTTAAAAATCAGAGTCTGATGAAGGAATGGACCTCCTGACCCCATGCAGTTCCTCTGCCTTGGATGCAACAGAAGAGATGACCCGTCAAAAGACACAGCCCTTTTTTATCCCAGGTTGATTAGCCTCCTGTTAGAGCACCTTAAATACATCTCTGACCCTGCTGGGAAGGACCAAGCCACAATAATGAGGTGCAGCTTTGCTGAAGGGTGATTTTACCTCCACCTCCCTACTGTGAATTTCTTTGCAATTACATCTGAAGCACTTGATTTTCCCGTTTGAAAGGAGACTGAATTATACTGTCAGTTCATTAGGAGATTACTGAAGTTTCCAGACTTGAAACGGTGTACAATGCACTTGGTATGCAGCAAGTTTAAGTTAATAAGTGCCCTGAAGGCACAGTATAAAGAACAGCATTTCCGCTATTGTTCAAAATCCAACAGCAAAGCTTTATCACTTCTTTGTTATGAACGCAATATACAGCTCTATTTAATCTGTTATTTGCAATCCAATTACTGATTAAAATTTAACTGATTTAGATAAGAAATGAGTTACTATTATCAATAACCATCTCAGTCACAGGAGTTAAATATTTCATGGCATATATAACACTGATCTCAGTCAGGGTATGGGCACAGAACCGCAAGCAAAGAATGGAGAAACTCTCAGCTACAATCCAACTCTCATTTAAGAAACAACTTGACCATTTTAAATGGAAGAAGTTTACCATTCCTAATCCCAGGCAGTATAACTGCTAACCTAAGCCAACAGCTAGCAAAAACATCCCTGGGAACTTAACCAATAGTATTCAGAAACGCTAGAGCATATATAATTTTGTTCACGTGTAACTTGTACGGAAAGCTGAGAAATAACACAGTATGGTACTCCTATAAGGCACAGAAAAATGCATATAGCATTTTTAAGTCCTGCATCTTAGCCATGCAAAGGAGAGGATGCTGCAGGGATGCCAGCACAAGCGCTGCCCAGCTGTGTCACTGGTCTCAGGACACAGGCAACTTTGCCTATTTTATTTAAATTGAGCATGGTTTTAGGGCTGCTGGAACCACCAAATGGTTTTCACTAGGCAATAACTGAGTACCTCACAGATACTGCTTAATCCTGTGTTTATTTGTACTACAATTAAAAAAAAAAAAATTGAACTTACTTTGCTCTGGGTTGATGTACTAATCCTGGAATCTCTTTATTAGATTTAAGTCTTGCATTTGAACTGGCACTTTTTTCCTGAAACACACAAAAATCACACAACACAGATACCATCAGTATTTATTAAGCACACAAAGTGTGACAGGCATTTGTCATCATGGTCTCACACTCTGCCGGGCTCAGGCTCTTCTACCGGTAAAACTGAATGAGAAAAACTCATCAAAAATGAAATTAAAGGCAATACAATTGATGCAATGACCCCAGGCAGGCAATTTTTATATGTCACGGGCTCAGTGGCCTGGAGGATTGCCTCTGGGTCACCAGGCAAAATCCATCTGGTACATGTAGCGATTAAACACCGTGCTGACTAATAACTCTCCACCGGTCCATGGAAAATGAGGTGTATGGCTGTGGCTTGGCTCCTCGTAGAGTCCTATCAATGATAACATCAATTGGCACCTTTAACAGAGCAAGGCAAAGCATTGAAAAGGCAGAGCCCCAGAGTCACCCCAGATCTGTAGGTCTGCTCAGAACAGAGGCAAGAAACATCAGCATCACGTGGAAAATCGTTATGGGGAGAAAGCGTAGATTAAATGTGCCAGTGAGAAGAGCAGCAACAGCAGGCTTGACCTGCTTAGCAGAAACCTGGACACAGGGGGCCCAAGGAAGCAAACCAGAATGTGTTTATAGAGAACAACACAACTGTGTCCTCTGTGGAGAACCACAGCCACTAAAAACATCTTAAAAAAAGGGGTGGGGAAGGAAAAGAGTTTAGTTGAGAGCCAGCATTTCAAGGTAACATCTTGTCCTTGTGCCAAAAGCTTCTCTAAACCAAAGCTTAGAGCACACACATATCTATTGTCTGCAAAAACCTGGAGAAGGATATGGCCCTTTCCATATCTTCCCAGAACTGCGTGTTAGGGAAAGCTGGGAGAGCTAAGTCAAACCTCAGAGCTCACCCGCTCCACAAATCTGTCGGAATTTCTTAAGCATGTCACGCCCATGACAATTTAAGAAATGTAAACCCAGGAATTAGTGCTTTCGTGGGCAATTTTGGCGGTTTTGTTTTGTCTTTTTTAGTCTTTGAATGTCTGAATCACATAACATGATTTTTAAGAGGGCTACTAAATCACTGATTTTTTTTTTTTTTTTAAAAAAAGAGGTTGTCTAGCAGTTAATATTTTAATGAGTAAGTCTACAAGGGCTGTAAACATCAACTGCCTCAGCATATTTAACAGTGTTTAATGCATATCTTATAATCCTCCTAAACAGAAAATGGTGTCTTGCATGAAAATAAGAGAGAAACAAGCCTTTCTTCCAAGCTTAGTAAACATCTCTGTATGTTTGTTACATCCCACCAGCCACTGCCTACCCGTGATCACATGATGTCAAGTCTAAGCAGCAGAACAGAAAACAAAATCACTTGTTTTCAAAGCATCTTCTAATTTTAAGTGTTAACTGCGGATGACTATGTACATGCATGTTGCATGTGTGGTGAACATGCATGTACATAGTCATGCAACTCTGAGTTGATGTATGACTTGTACAACTGTCAAGCAAACTCGTACAACTGTCAAGCCAAATAAAAAGAGAGGGACAGGTCTCATGGAGAAGACACCAAAACCAGAAATCAGCTAAATCCGAAGCTCATGTACCAGGTGAGCCTTTATCCTCCAATCTGCTCCACCAGTTAGTTTGCCACAATGCAGAGACAGAAACCGGGAATGGTCCACACTGCACACCTGGATGGTCCAGTGGTAGGCATGTTCTGAGGCTGTAGCATCTCCTGCCCACCTACCGCAACACAAGGTGAATTTTGGGCTATCTGCTGTCTCTGCATACTGTCACCCTGGAGGTACAGACCCTTTCCCACCAAAAATCTGCTGCAAATCCATTGCCTCAATTGAAAGGGAAGGAAAGCTCTGATTTATACCTCCTGTGTTGGGAGCTGTGATAAATCATGGTGGTGCCAACCTGGCTTTCCATATCTCTGCTTGTGGTTTAGTGTCAGTGCAGCTCTATCAGTAGCTGGAATTAGCATAAATACCAGCCTAAAGAAACTTCTGTCACTTAGGAAGAAAGACACAAGGAAAATATACATTGCCTTCTCTCTGTGGGTCCCAGAGCAATATTCAGAATATTAACTGACTCACACAAGAAGTCAGAAATAAAATCCCAGTTTACTTCACCTCAAGATCCCAAAATTTACTCTCTCCCTCCTATCGCTTTTGATAATTAACACACCTCAATTACCTATTACTTACAATTCTTCTATTTAATCAGAGCATGCCACCTTCTCCATCTGTTGCTCAGCAAGAATGAACACAAAAAGAGGAGTTAAGAGAAAAATAAAACCCCACCAGGCCTCAAATTGGCTCATTGCTTTGTTTATAGCTATTATTTACGGCAGCAATATTTCATTACACTGACTGAAATATTGGCTTTGATAAAAACAGATATCCAAAACTAATTCTTCCAAATACTAACAAATAGAATATTTTCCCCATCACTCTGAAGACAAATTGATTCATCAGAAATTAATAGTTTGAATTCTAATATCGATCTTACAAAGAAACCCAAAATGCTTTAATGTAGTCAGATTGCTCTTCTAGGCTGACTTGACTTTGGTTGAAGAGTTATTTCTATCAATCTAACCTTATTTTCTCCCTTATTTAACATTAAATAAGTCACAGTGCATCAGCAGAACCGCAAGTCATTTTAGAGTCCTAATGTGTTGCAAATAGGAATTAAGATCCAAAAGGGTTTTTTTTTAATCCAGCCCTGCTTGTAAGGATTATTTAAAGGAGATACACTAAATGATGTCTCACACCACAAGCTTCAGAGTAAACCCTCCAGGATGCTGTACTCTGATAGTAGCACTAGCTAGTCTACAGTAAAGAGGTAAACAGTGGACATTTTACTCTCCATTATTTTGCAATTAATCATTATCAAGGTAAAGCTGTCATCCAATCAAGGTGATTTAATTTGATAGATTTGTTAATTGTTGTTAATTCCTTCATAAAGGATGCACGTATCCAGAATTTCAGGGCATTAACAGATGGCGGTGACTCTGCTGCCAGATGCTATTAACACAGCAACAGCCACTACTGCCATTATAATTAAATATCTGTCAACATTTCCCTTGGTGCTTCTCCTCTTACAAACCCATTTCTAGAGACATGTGAACTTCATTTGAAGTATTTTGCTTTTCTTCAGAAGACTGCCACAGATGGACTCAGGTAAGCTGCTAATAGTCCTTCTCAACTATCTTAACGCTCACAGCTTAGTAGAGAAGGGCTGATTTTTAAGAGATGACTCCATAAGTGCTAACATATTTTATGAAGAGACTAAACATTATTTTATCCATTTTTTAATTGATTAAACTGTCCAGGAAGAAATCAATTAAAGATGATAGCAGCAATTCTACTACTTAATCTAATAGCTAATTTTCATTAACTTAGTAACATTTTGGTCTTTATTTATTTTTCCTCTAAAGTTACAATGATTAAACAAATATAGAGCCAAATGGGGGAAAACCCCCATAAACCAGTAAAACTTAGTGTAAGTAAAATAGGGTTCTTAGCTTCCAGGCTGTTTTTTGTTTAATTTGGAAAAGGCTGAAGCATCCAACTTGTATCCATATCTTGGAGCCACCGATGTTTGAAGGCAGCATGTTCCCTCAAATTAGTATAATTTTTAAGATGAATTTGTCTCTGTAGATTTGCTATTAAAATATACTGAAGTTGACAGAACCACCAAAGGTGTCTCCAGATAGCGATCGTGTTTTACACAATATTGGCAGTTTACAGCTATTGAAATATTCATAAAATAATATTCCTGATTTATATCAAAATGACACTTTTCTTCAAAGGAGCCAACAGCGCCTTTCAAACTGCTTTCTGGAGCCATGTAACTCATCTTTAAAATCATTTAGGTGAAAACGGTCAAGGCAATCCCAAGCGCAGGTACAGGCTGGGCAAAGAGTGGATTAAGAGCAGTCCTGGGGAGGACTTGGGTGTGTTGTGGTGCATGATAGGATGAACATGAGACAACAGTGTGCACTTGGGGCCCAGAAAGCCAATCGCATCCTGAGCTGCATCAAGAGATGCAGCAGGTCAAGGGAGGTGATTCTGCCCCTCTACTCTGCCCTTGTGAGACCCCACCTGCAGTGCTGCGTCCAGCTCTGGAGCTCCCAACACAAGAACGACATGGAGCTGTTGGAGAGAGTCCAGAAGAGGGCTACCAAGATGGTCAGAAGGCTGGAACACCTTTCCTACGAGGACAGGCTGAGAGAGTTGGGCTTGTTCAGCCTGGAAAAGAGAAGGCTCCAGGGAGACCTTCTAGCAGCCTTCCAGTACCTGAAGGGGACCTACAAGAAGGCTGGGGAGGGACTTTTTACAAGGGCCTGCAGTGACAGGACGAGCGGTGATGGTTGGAAGCTGGGAGAGGGCAGGTTTAGATTAGATAAAAGGAAGAAGTTCTTCACCCTGAGAGTGGTGAGACACTGAAACAGACTGCCTAAGGAAGTTGTGGATGTCCCCTCCCTGGCAATGTTCAAGGCCAGGTTGGATGGAGCCTTGAGCAACCTGGTCTAGTGGGAGGTGTCCCTGCCATGGCAGGGGGGTGGGAACTAGATGATCTTTGAGATCCCTTCCAACCCAAACCATTCTATGATTCTATGAAAAGTGAAGTATTTATTTTATTTTTATACCATAAACCACTCTTTAAAATAACTGTATTTGAAAAGAAGGAAACCAAATGCATCTGTCAGAAATGGCATGAAGGACGAGATGTAAAATTTCTGTATGCCAGCCCAGCACTTTTTACCTCCCTCAGCTACAAGGACCAGCCTCAGGTAACAATTATTTTACATGGACTGTCTTGATGCGTCAGTGTGAACAAGGAAGAAGTACTGATCTATGAGATTTCAGTTGAGTTTCCTTACTTTATATGTACACGACTGTTTATTTTTTGTATTATCATTTGGCAGGAACAAAAAGCCTTTTTCTTCTTTCTCCAGTTACCAATCAAAACCACTTGAAAACACTATTTAGGGTAACTTAATAACAAAGGGGCAA